GGCGCACATCGCACCCGTGCTGCCAGTGTGTACTTGATCAGCCTTGTTTGCAGTGCGTTCGCTGATCGTGTAAGGGGATGCGCCAATCCCGTCGCGATCGATCTAGAGCTGCTTAGGCATGCGCCTAGCTGCCACTACTAAGGACAACAGGACCTCAGATGCTCCCAAACCCGGGGTTAGGTAAGGCTGATTAAAGGTCAAAAAGTCAGAAATTCCCATCCCAGCCTCCCTTGGTTTGCCTGTTTGGTTTGCTTTTTCTATATATTACTAGTTACTGCACGACTGTCTACGGGGCTGAAGATCGAGCTTCAAAGCACTGCAGAGCGAGTAAGTCCAGTACCACGACCTATGAAAGCTCTTTGAAGATAGTTTACATTCCTAACTGCACTTGGCAAAACAACGAGCCCTTGGCTCAGTGGGTAGAGCGTTGAAATTACGAACGCTCAATAACGAAAAGGACCTCATGTACACCCAACCATATGGTGGAGTAGGACGCGTTGACGACGGTAAATAAGATAGAAATGGCTATCCAGGTATTTATTACGCTTCGAAGGACGTTCTTCTAGGCATGACCATTTTCGTTATCGTATCTTGCAAATCCACTATACTCTTTCCCATAGACAAATGCGGGTGATTCAAATGTCAGCCCTTGGTCAAGTGACCGTTTTAATTACAATTACAATTAGCTCAACAGTATTTGGTGTAAAGAAACAGCACTAAGCTAATTGGTTGGTTAAATCTATTTGATTGTCCTCGAATAATCTGGGACATGCTAAAGAAGTGGTCGCCACAAGCGTAGACTGGCTTATGGAAGACAATGTCCGCAAATCCAGGAACCCCCCTCAATCAAACTAAAGGGGAAATCATGTAACTAGCAGCCCTTTTGATCAGTCCGACACAACGAGAATCACTTTTGTATGTTGGTGTTTACCTTAAAATCTCATGCCCGAGAGCTAATTCAAAGCCTATCACTGAAAGCAAATATAAAAGATGCATCGCTATATGTTGTTTTTCTTAGCACCATTCGCAAGCAAAAAGGCTTAGTCTTAGAAGTGACGATCTACGTATCCTGTGTGTGTCTGAGGGGACAAGATTTTACTTTTGAGAAAAAGTATTTGCAATCAATGGGATGATAATTTTATACCTCTGACACTTCAAAATTCGTCACGAATCCATCCTCAAAGACAATAGCAGAAATAGGTAATTCCTGCAGTATTTATACGATAAAGACCCTATGCTACTGCACACTTATGACAATTAACAGCTGCCTTATCCAGGATAATGGCCTGTTAGTGCGCTAATGGCCGGCGTGCGGACCGTGACCTGCTGAACTTTCATCACATGTGATGGAGTTGGGCATGATAATTGCTCGGCCATCTGGCTCCCTGGCACTGGCGTTAGACGACGCGTTGGCCTGTGCGTCCTTAAGTAGCGACTTGCTTTGGTCAAACTGAACCTTATTACAGAATAGGGATTGGGCAGGTCACTGCACTTGTTTATAGACTGGGAGCCTGTGAACTATGAATAAAGTAACTCAGGACTCACACAACTGTCACCTCTAGCGAGAACTTCGGCGCAGTGAATATTACTTAGCTCGACTGACAGAGTGTAGATGCATAGCCTATGATTTAGAATGTTGGAGTCCTTCTCATTAACAAACAATTGACGCTGATTTAGGGCTCAAACTTGTCTTCCATCTTGTCTGACTAAAATGATCAAAAAGCCAGAAACAATAAGTCAAATTTCCTTTACTGTTTGTCTGCCTTCCAAATACGAAATATGGAAAACTCCTTGATACTACTTTGATGCAGGTTCAGGTAACCTGAAGAGTCGTACTTACCTGCGTTTACAAAATAACTACCCTCCTGCCGTTTTGGGTAGACGGATGAAGGCGCAACAATTTTGTGACCCCTGTCTTGGAAGAAGGACAGAAATTCGTCTCTGAGATCGTTGCTGGAGCATATGGCTTTTTTGATTGACGGAGCAAGTTTCACATGGCGAGAGAAAGGCAACTTGTGATCAACAGTGCATTCACCGCCTGGAGCAGGGTGACGACTGGTACTGGGCAGGGTAGCATACTGACGCCATAGGAGGAGCTCTTCGTTAAAAATTCGGAGGGCTAGACTGCGTTCCTAAAACTCAGAAAAAAAATACTTTTGTCAACAGTGTATACCTCTTAACGACTAATTCAAAAGTACGGAAAGGCAAACGAACATTGAAGACTACTAGCAGGAGTCAGCGTGGAGTGTAGCAAACCACAAATGTATAAATGTGTCAAAAAGGTAAGACGAGCGGCTGTGAGCAGACCAATGGGTGTTTGCGGTCATGCTAGACGCCCATGCTGGCGACATCGGACAGTGGCCACTTCTTCAGTGTACGCTTGACAACTCCTCTCCAATGCCGTTTTAAACTGTCAGTTACTAAAAAACACATACTTTTAC